CAAATACGTCCAACTGTTCACATGGAATAGGTCCCAACAAACCAGAAATTTTGACGATCGATCCCGTTCAGGGCGTCCTAGGTCAACGTCAAGAGTAGAGGATCGATTGATACGAAACAAGGCTTTACGAAATCGAGGTCAAACGGCGAAACAAATTATTGCAAACCTCCATCCGACCACTTGAGTGCGAGTTAAAGAGTCAGTCGATTAGAAATCATCTACATGCAGCGCATCGCCATGCTGGACGGCCAAGGTTTGCGCCTCCCCCTACAGCTACAAAACGTCATTTTGAGAAACAGACGGCAATGGTGTGAACACATCGTCGAAACTGGGGTAATCGTCGCTGGCCACGTGTCATGTATTCCCATAATTCCTGATTCTCTTTGCGCCGCCTTGATAGGCGTGGTCGTGCCTGGCGACGTCGAAATGAACGTCAAGCCAATGTCAACCTGTGACCTCAGTTTTGGCAGTGGATCGGTTATGTTGTGTGGTGGCATCACTGTGACTTACCGACCCCAACTCCCTATTGTACAAGACAGGGGCAACTGACAGTACTATCGGGAGAACACACTGACACTCTTTTTTGTCCCGTTTGCAAGGCGTGTGAGGCGACGTTTTGTCTTCCAGGACGACAACGCCGGAGCTCACCGTGCACGAAGAGTCAATGCTCACCTCCAGCAGTACAACATCCAAAGAACCGTAAAATACCATGGCCAGCAATGAGCCGAGACCCTTCTCTCATTGATCACGTCTGGGAGATAATAGGGCGTCGTGTACATGTGCGTCAACGTCACAGGCCGCCGAGCATGTTGGCTGAACTTGGCCAGGCGCTGCAAGAGGAGTGGGACAGACACCCTCAAATCGCCAATGGAGTGAGTGAATATGGTTTCACGCCGCTTATAGCAGTATTAGAGCAATATCACGGCGGGGGACACCAGAAACGGGCTTCACACATTGTACCCATGTCAGGAATTGAACCCGGGTTAAAGTGGTTAAAGCGTTCGCTCGTCACACCGAAGACCCGGGTTCGATTCCCGACATGGGTACAATGTGTGAAGCCCATTTCTGGTGTCCCCCGCCGTGATATTGCTGGAATATTGCTAAAAGCGGCGTAAAACCATAGTCAGTCAGTCGTGGTTCAAGATCGTTGTTGGTGATAACATCTACTGTCACACTTCACTACTTGTAATGTGTTCCCAACTTGCTCATTGTTATCATTTAGCTATACTAGAAACTAATATCTCTTAGAAGTTTGGAAACTTTATTTTTTTCCGAGTATCCCGAGTACGTTTTGAAGAGTATGAATTCAGGGAGTGAGGGAGTGAGTATCAGTGAGTGAGTATACGCTGTTGGCAATATTCCAGGGGGGGGGGGGGGGGGGGGGGGGGGGGCACCAAGAATTGGAAGTTTAATCCGGGCGTGCCAAACGAACGCTTTATTAAACAAAAAAGGTTCCCCGTCACCTCTAAATCTATTTCAACACAGTTATTTGAACATATATGTATAGCCAACCACGGGACACATCTTTTTTAAAAATGTCCTTCGTTTCCGCTATACCTCTCTGTCATGTGACTTCCAGATCTTACTGAAATCCCACACCTGCAATCTAATCTCAATACACGGCACACGTCAAACTGAACCATTATCAAATCTCCGAAAATACTCCGATATCAACACATATTTTGTGTTCTTATTTACGGAAGACAAAGTTACAAAAGCGTCCGGTTTCAATCTAAATTCAGAAAATATCAAAACCGCGGGTCAACCACAAATATGTGATATTGAATCAACTTTCAGAGTCTGGGAATATAGAGTAGGGGTGGGGTGGAATAGGGTTGGGGGTGGGGGAACTGGAAGGTGGTGGGGGTACCACCTGAGTCACGAGGTGAACAGAAACACACAATACCACGAAAAACGGATTGTGTGACTAGCACGTGACACCTTGTGAAATCATTTTTTAAATAGTAATTCATAAACACATCCTCATGATATAGTCGGAATCGTACAATCGACTCTGAAAGGGTTTTTGTTGCTATAATGAACACAGTTAATTACGCATGTCTAAATAGCCACACTATGTCTTGTCACAGTACATGTCGAAACGTTCAGTTTAAAAACAAATCACCAAGCAAGAGACAATCTCGGGTTACCTGCGCATGATTCAAGACACACACTACAACAAACATTTTTTTACAAGTTCAACGGATAATGCAGCTTAATATCCAAAACTGGCCTCCACGTGAGATATCACTTGGTGAGATCAAACGATCTCATCAATGGAGATATCGCTGCAATAAAATATCGTATCGCAATGCTTTGAAGATCACTGTGACGTCATCGTTACCATGACGTCACAATCAAATGACGCCACTAATCTGCCACTGAAACTGTAGCTGTACTATTTACACTCAACACACTGTTTATCACAGAAAACGCTAGCAGAATTATTTTGATGATAAATAGAATCTCATCCTCGTGTCTTCCAAGATCATATCATATCAAACCTCGTATATTTTAAACTTGTATCACCTTGTCTTGGCGTCGTTGAACTCGGAAGACACTCGTTGAGATTTTTTAGGCAAACATGTGCTAACAGAATTCCACACAGCAAAGGAACAAATCCATACTATTACGGTATTTACAGGTATGCCATATCAATGTACCTATTAATACCCCACGCCTTGCACTGCTTTCCGGAAGTAAAAACAGTATTAAGGACTCCTTGTGTGTTCCCGGAAGTCACGTGACCGACGGACTCACTCAAATGCATCGCACTTCCTCTTATGTAGTTTTTTTTCAACTGTAATATAAGTAGGTCAACAGTTCTCAGTATCAATGAAATTCGTGAAACCATTATAAAAACACACACGCGGTAGTGACAATAATGAAATGTAATGTGCCAGATCTACTTTCTGAAAGATTACCATGTTTGCATTTAACTCAAAATAGATCTCGTTTTCCCATGGAAAATCATATTACAATATTTGATTACTGTCGAGCGTAGTTGGTAACCATATAACCAAATTATTTTTTTGTACAGCTCTTTTGTATGAGCGATGTACCAGGAAGCTCAAATTAAAATATAACGGTCGAACTAAGTCCATAATTCAGTCGTCAAATCATAATCAGTAGATAGTTAAAATAGTCCATACTCTAACTGAACAAACACTCGCCTAAAGTGAAAAACTATCACGAAAACATGTTTAAAATATAATATTAATCAACTTTTGAATATAGTAATTAAGGGATAAAAAGCTTTGGACGATGTAACGATTGACAGGCATTGTACATACATGCCTTTACCACATGCCTATTCAGTGGCTAGTTCATTCAAAATTGATGGCCCTCGTTTTCATTGTATAATATGTTTATAAGGTCAATAAAATAGTGTATGTATAACGAGGTGTCAAGAACAATAAATATGTATTTTGTTGATATATGTTTTTGGATGTCCGTGTTCTCATCCTGTTGAAACAAGATATACCTGGACCTCGTGATGGCATTACCTGAAAAAATGAATTATGTCTGAAGTCTCTTTTAATTATCTATGTCAAAATGTTATCGTAAGGAGGCTGATTTTGCTAAATACCACATATTATGGGGCGTTACTGTCACCATAGATACAATAACAGAATGGCTCTAAATAATCGCGTTAATATCATTAAAATAACTATCAAAACTGTTAAGAAATCATAATTCATATTTGCTTAGTCTTAAACATTAACACGACGAATATTTAATCATTATACGTAACCCCCCGAAAACTGCTTTGTCGAAATATGTAAGTTTATTAATTGTTCAGGTGACGAAAGGAACCTAGAGTTATGGGAGAAAAGTGATCTGTGTCTCTTAATCCCCTATAATCCACTATAACAACATTTGGGGTGAGGGCACAGTCAGGTTAAACCGAGAAAATATCCCATTGGGTTGACGTTAGCTATTATGTGCCATTACCTCTTGAACATGAAGTGCCGTATTCCGCTATGAGATGCATATGCTGAATAAAGTGAAGGTTCTTCAATATGCGACCCAAGGTGCTAGAAATCTACTGCAACTAATGGTATCGTCCGGATTAACAAGGTTTTACGATATACATGTACCTTGCATAGATACATTTAGTACCTGTGTACACTGTGCAAAATCATACCAACAACCTAAACACGCTCCTTGTCCCATAATTGTGACGTGTTTAGGGTTTAAACATGATTAGGATTGTGTGTAATAGTGTTTAGGGTCAAAATGTGGGAAAGACCGACCGGGGATGGGTACTGGCATTCGACGCTCGACCTCGACACTCGAGATTCCTGGGTAATAGGACCCTGTTGCATGATATGCGTATGTTAGTAAACACCTAGTGTTATGATCAACAGTTGGACTCGCTTTTTATCTCAGCATCCATACGGATGTCCTGAAAGTCTTGACCTGAATATACTTCCTAGTACAGACCGCTCTTTGGGATATACATTCGCTGCAAGGGCAGTGCATCAGTACTAAGCGGGCCTGCACAGACTGTGATATCCCATGAGTAGAACTATTGAATTTCAGTTAATATTCAATCAATTTTTGAACTGTAAGGGAGAGAGAGAGAGAGAGAGAGAGAGAGAGAGAGAGAGAGAGAGAGAGAGAGAGAGAGAGAGTTGTCAAACTCAGATACCATACGTAGACAATCAGTAGCGCAGAATATGCCCATGGAAGCAGTTGACTGTTAATTGACAGCATTACAATACTATATATGATCGTAAACAGTTTACTATTTTTATTAGTCCATTTATTACAACGACTGTATAACATAACGCATGTAACGAGCAAATACGGGTTACTTTGCTGGTAGTCGATACGTTTTGAAAAACAGAAATTGTAACAAAAACATTATCTAACGGGAAAGAGTGTTGAATTTGAGGACATGTTAATTCTAATAATATTGGTAAGATGTTCGAGAAGTAAACCTCATGCCAAACATGACCACAGCGCATAACGTTTTATAACAACAAACATGAATATGTTATGAATAAATATTTATTATATCAAATCGTGATCATAACAAGATAGAAAATGAAAAGTGAAAGACTTCAACATAGGAATTTTCCTTGAACACATTTGAGACAATAAGACATGAGCATCCTATGAATAAATGATAACCCCGTTTGAAATGTTGAGCAGCAAATAAACAAAAGCATGCCTCGAGCACTAGACTACCACTTACTCTATGAAATCATTTATCACACAATACAGTTATCTCATCTGATGAAATTCTTAATGCTCATTACATTTCTGTGCAATAGAGATGGCTTGGCTTCCTATTCTAGATTGTTTGGCTTCACTGAAATACATATATTCCCGTCTTGGTACAGGACTACTAGATCTTTAGATCAAAGCAAAAAATCAATTTTGTTAAAACTTAAAAATCATAATTATGCTACTTTGCAACTTTTTGAGTTCAAAGAACATGTTTCAATAAATTAAATATGCAAAATAGTTTTTAATATGTTATCCGGACAGCTGACATTGCAACAGCGAATACACAGATATATAAAGCAAACTACTGAGACCATGAAACATTTAATGAAAATATGATGAAAAAGGAATTTTTTTACGGACGGCTATTATTTGCAACAGATCTTGGCTGTGCCATCCCTTCCCAAGCATACGTTATGCTGACACGAGTTATCTCCCCTCAATGAAACTGCCGCTTTGTGGCAAATCAAACACTCCATAAAAGATACACATATTTATGTTCATGAGCATACTTGTCGTATGTGATAGTAAGTATCACTGCTGTACTGTATGATTTATTATAAATAAAATAATATGTTTTGGCATGCGATGAATAACATGTGTATGGTTAAATAGGAAAACAGTGAAATACATTTAAATGCCCCGACATGGGGCTGTCATCGAAACCCGCTTTGCATCTCGAAACGTGATTTTGTGTAAATAATCTGCGTAATTAGGTGTAATTATACAGGAACAGATTTTATTGTTGAAGTTTCGTGAGCAATATTTTTATTCAACCAGAAAGTGAAATGCGACATATATTTACATGAATATACATACAATATACCCGATGATATTGATTGTGTGAATACAATTAAAATAGCTTTAGGATGAAATTAAAATAAACTTGACTAGTTGTTCAAATATTGTCCAGAATACCAATAGTGTTTATAGCAATAACCTCTAAACGTAAACATTGATCATATGTAATTACGTATTAGACAGATCCCACAATAAACATCCTCATTTAATATCATTAAATACAGCTACAGCAAATACCCCTTAGTCTGGACCAGTAAAATCCCCCGGATAAACAAATGTCCGGATCACGGACCAATGAATCAAGCTCCCTTGTATCCGTGTAAACAATCAAAAAACTAATCGGGGTTTCCATCTTAACGGGGTTTCGTTGTATAATAAATTTACATTATAAAGACTTACAATGGACTACAGAAATTATGTTATGATGCATTTTTACAAGCGTATTTTTTACAGAGAATACGGTATAAACCGCACCTCTCTGTCCTGCCCGCGTCAATTCACTGTGTGCGCAGTCTAGGCATGGATCTTGACGTTAGCAGGTGGTGGAGGGGCGTTGTAGAGTTTCAGTCGGTGCAGAAGGTTGACGAAGTGGCCGAGGTCGATGGTGTTGTCGTCTGTCCCCGTCGTCTGGATAAAGAATTCAATCTCCTTATCCTCCAGGACACGCCCAGTTGCTGTTTTGAGAGTCTTCAGGCCAAGCCTCGCCTCCTCCACGTCCAGCTTGCCGCTCCCATCGGCGTCAAGTTCCCGGAACTTTTGCACGATCTCCTGGGCGCTAAAATGGTGAATAAAATCATTAGTATGAATTACAATTAATATAAATAGTGATTCATCCTCTTTATTATTTAGGACACACCAAACATTATACTAGTTCTTAATGATACTCAAATTCTCAAATGTTGTCACCGAAAGGGATTCGGTGGTATTTTAGTGAGTGAGTGAGTGAGTGAGTATGGTTTACGCCGCTTTTAGCAATATTCCAGCAATATCACGGCGGGGACCGAAATGGGCTTCACACATTGTACCCATGTCGGGAACCCATGCTTGAACCACTAGGCTACCCGACCGCCCCGGTGGTATTTTAAACATATTGATGATAACAAGCCCCCCCCCCCCCCCCCCCCCCCCCCCCCCTCCACTTCATGAATATGGAAAATATATATATTTAAATACTTAAAATTAAATTGCTTATGTTTTACGCACTAGCTTCAAAAAGTCATTTTTGTCAGAATCAGTAGTTTGTTTTTATTTTAAAAATTGCATTTAGCTCACGAGAAACAACAACACCCGGGGGGTGGGGTTGGGGGTGGGGTTGGTTGGATGATTCCGTGATGGGATTTCGGAGCCGAATCAAGCGAATGAACTTATAGCGTAGTTTGGCTGGCTTGTTTACGGCAATTGTGCTTACTATGCTTCTCCCACTGTAACATTCGGGAGCCAGCCATCGTAGTGAGCGCCTTGTCTGGGCTCCGTTACTTGACACAAGAAGTTGGCGACGCGCAGAGTGAGCATGGAACCAGCTTTACCGAATCACAATGTCGCATAGACTCGATTTCTGTCTAACTAAACGAAAAGCGCATTCGTCACCATTCGCCCCTTTCCGTAACCAACAAGAAGACGCTATTCGGCTTGCCACGGAATAACACGAGTTGGTGACAAATGCTAGAGGCGGTGAGCTTGCGTCCAATACCAACAGTGGAACCAGTTTAATGAGACACAACAATTGATGACGTCACAGTACACAAACTACGACAGTGCATTATATGTGACGTCAACAATACCGTGACGTCACAGTCATAGTTAATGGAGAACGGCATCAAGCCGTGTCGAGCCTTGAACTTCGTCGCGGCTGCTCGCTGTCATAGCTGGACCAGTGATGTATCGGTGTATATCCTCACCGGATCTACAAGATCACTTTCTCAACCACAACAACAACAGAGGAAAGAAGGGTGAAAAGTCCACCCAGCCCAGAGCCAGTACCGGGCAATGGCTTCCTTCCACGCCGGCCCAGCTACAACTGACCCCTGTCCGAATCTGGCGTCCAGCTCAACAGGAAGTGATGCGGCAGTTAAGGAGAGAGGGAATCATCGGGAACTACCCCACAGTTGGTGGTGGTCAGAGGAAGGCCAGGGTACCTCGGCCCCAGAGACTTACGGATAGACTCGAGAAGGTCCACAAAACCGGTTCGAGCCTGGAAGAAAGGCTTGAACTCGCCACGATGTTGAGAGAAAAGGCGCTATGGAACCATGGCGCTATGGCGAGGCAGAGTGACGATCGCCGGGCCCGGATCGTGGATATGCAGAACAAGATTCAGAATGAGAAGAGGCAGCAGATGGAGGAGAAGTTGAGGAGAGCGAATGAGAGGAAGAAGCGACTGATACAGGGGAAAGTAGCCAATAGACGGAGGAGAGACTTGATGGGCTGGGGGGAGCTTGAGTGAAGAGTGTTTGGATAGAAAGGGGTGCGGAGTACAGAGAACTCACCAATCATGTTTCAGGCTTTTTTAGCATGAACCTCTACAGTATTGCATTTGCATTGATGATATACTTATTTCAATTATATCTTAAGATATTCAGTCGTCAAATTAAACTGTTGAATGTCAAATGCCGAAATCTGTGACTTATTTTTTAAGACTTGGTAGAAATCAATGTGATTCGAACACTAATACCACGCCATTAATAAGTTTAATGACCTTTATCCTGTTAAGGTATACTGCAATGCCCGGATGATATGGCATAGATAAACAGAGTTTAATTAAATACTTAAAATTGCTGAATATATTCAATATTGTTGCCTAATTTTCTGATAAAATTGTATGAGTGTTATCAAAGTAGACTTTTCAAGTTATGTTAAGGGCGTTGAGCGAGCCTATTGGTTAACGCGTTGGCTCGACACGACGGGTTCCTTCCACAGATGGGTGAATTGTGTACAGCCAGTTGGTGGTGTTCGCCGTGGTGGTTTGCAATATGGCTAACAACGGTGTTTAATAATGTTTGTTTTCATTTTGTTGTACTATTGAACAGGTACGTCGCCACATATGGCCTTGATTAGAGGGTAAATTGCACTGGCACTATGCTGGTACATAAGTAACCTCCGATAACAACCCAACAGCTGACAATTTCTATAAGTACAGTAAACTACGGTTATAACGAACTCGAAGGGACTACTTATTTTAGTTCGTTATAACCGTAGTTCGTTATAAGTACATATACAGCATGACTACAGCAAGTAGTCGGGACCCAAAAGTAAGTTCGTTATATCCGTCAGTTCGTTATAAGCGTGTTCGTTATAACCGTAGTTTACTGTATCTCATACCGAAGCCGAGTTAAACCTCATTTATTCGAACTCCACTAACTCGATGTACTGTTTAAGTCGATGTAACATTAAAGCCAGGCAGAATTATACCGCACACTTTTGTCTAAATAATTTAATTCATTAAGGAGAGATTACAAAATGTATTTTCAACTGTCCAGATCACACTGGGAGATCACCAAGTTTCACATGTTAATGATGTTGATTATACATACTGGTCGCCAGCGCAGTCGAAGAACATCTTGAACTCCCAGATACTCATGATGTTGTCGTTGTTCTTGTCGAAGGTGTAGAAGATATTTTCAGCCTGTTCGTTGTCAAGTCCGAACTCTGCCTTCAGCATCTCAAGAGCTTCATCCTTCTTCAGCTGCCTGACGTTGTTCGCCTGGTACTTGGAGAACACCGCCAACACGTTCTCCCTGAGGACGGCAAAACATAGGGCGATACATAAGTGCATCATGTAGAACGTCATATTAAGGAATTAGCAAGTGCTGTTAAGTTTATATTGTAATTTCTTGGGTGCATAAGCAATTGGTTGAACGCCTTTTTGAGTGAGTGAGTATTGTTTTACGCCGATTTTAGCAGTATTCCAGCAACATCGTGGCGGGAGACACCAGCAATGGGCTTCACACATTGCACTAATGTGGGGAATTGAACCTGGGTCTTTGGCGTGAAGAGCGAACACTTTAACAACCACACTTTAACACCCAGCCCCAACGCCGCTTTGAACAATATTTCAATTATATCATGGCGGGGAGTTTAATGTGAGAGGAAAGCTCCAGGAGATGCGGGTCTCAGACGTTTACCACTTTGGTGAAACCGAGGGCACAGGTATGGTGCTGACAGACCTAGAAAACATGTCTGGGTTTCAAAACCCGCGATTAGCAGACGCTAACCACTCAACGAACACATGGTATGAAAATATTTAGTGCTGGCAGATCAAGGTTTATAATCAAGAGCGAATCTTGTAACACACGACTCGCATTATGACATGACTTAGGATCTCTGCACAGTAATTTGCTGCGCCCTAGACATATTGTTGTATGGCACAATTTTCGATGAAATTATGAATAACGTTAAATCACAGGTCATCATGTGTACGACTGAAGGCATCTATCTCTGTTTAGTAATCATGACTTACGGGACTTTCCTGTTTCTGTTCATTTTGGACCTTTCTTTTCACAACCTGAAACAAAAAGAATTGAATTTATCTGAAGGTATACGGCATCTTGTAAAGAAGCGCTGGTAAAATATTGTCAAATCATCCAGCGTCCAGTTCCGCAAAGTGATCTTAGTGCTATGATTGTCGTAAGTTTATGTTACAGTATGAGAGTTTCGCCGAATCGTCCTGTGACGCTGACCCTGGCTTGTCGCTTCTTTCAATATTGTGTAACACAATGTTTTTACGTACCCAGCCTCTATTGAGGCTGCTAATACCAGGGTAGGTTACCAGCAGTGTGGTAAGCGAGACGCAGATCAACTCGTATTTAGTACGCAGACTGAGTGAGTGAGTTGGGTTTAACGCCGCTTTTAACAGTATTCCAGTTATATCGCGGCGTGTCAGCTTAATATGGGAGGAAAGCCCGAAGTGATGCAGGTCTTAGACGTTTACCACTTCGGTGAAACCCATGAGCACGGGTATTTTGCTGACAAACCTAGAAACATAATCGGGGTGAACCGAGTACGCAGATTGAACATTAAAAATAATAATGGTGTACAAACCGTACCCTAATATATTTTAGGAAAGCGTCGTAGGTTTCCTTCTATCCTTTTAGAGACAATGCTTGTCTTTTGATATCCGTTCAAGGTATAGTATCGGGTCGAGCAAATGACGAGAACATTAGGTGGTACTGGGGATTCGGAGGGGCTGCTTGGCACTCTCCCTATTCAGAAACGACAATTGAACAGAGGACGTACAGCGCACTTGTTGCTGATATTAATACTGTGAAACGACCCTGTCACTTTCTCTGGCGAGCAAATGAATGTATTCCTGTCATATCTCGACAGGCTGTAAATAATCACATGTGAGTGTGTGTGTGTGTGTGTGTGTGTGTGTGTGTGTGCGTGCGTGTGTGTGTGTGTGTGTGTGTGTGTGTGTGTGTGTGTGTGTGTGTGTGTGTGTGTGTGTGTGTGTGTGTGTGTGTGTGTGTGTGTGTTTTAACGTCTTTCGGTATCACACCACCGACCTTCAACTCGCCTGGCAGACACTCTATCCATTATAGCTATATAGACTAGTATAGTAGATAGCTTTAGCCATACGCGGCTCAAAGAGGAGTAACATATGCCATAGCATCTCCACGATAACACGCTGGGCGGCTGTGACATTTGTCTTGTGGTACAAGTTATTTATTGCTTAAATGACATTCACAAACTCATGAAAAGTGAGATATGTGTGTCTGCAGCAGTATGCAGGGTGACTATCCGCCAGTCATGTTGACATTGCCGGCCTCGTGTTACTGTCTGTTCTCTGATGTTTGCTTGGTGACGATCCTGTATCACATGAAGCACGTGTAATTAACGATTGTCTAATGGAGTCGTTAATAAAAAGCTAGGTCATGCTGACATACTAATTTCACACTCGCACGTTGCACCGCGTCATATTTGGACCAAACGACCTTAAAAGTTCATCATTGGAGGGAAACTCACCATATCGTCAGTGAACGTTTTTAATTCCATTGCTCTGTAATCTCAAAGTCCTTGACGAACATATCGTCTATCAAATCCTTAATTACACAATACATTTCTCCTCTAAAATTAAAACAAATAATTTTGATGATGATGGCTAGACTTGATATTTATATTGGTTTTGTTTTCATAACGTAAATATATTCAACACTAATGGTGGTCTTATGTTATGGTCTCTGCCTCCGCCAAGCCCTTTCTGTAATGCAATAGCCCTAAATGAAGCAAGTCTAGACTTTCTTCAGGTTCTGAATCTCCCATCTATCTCACTGGGGTACCTCTCATTTAATGTAGCTGTTTGTTTATATCAAAATTATATGTTTTTAGAAACTAAGCGTTAGTCTTTTATAATAGCTCATTATGAGGAAGAATGTTGTCACAAATTATCTTTTGCCAAAACTCTGAAGTCAGAAACGCCAATTACTGTGTGATTCATGGCATCAAACGCATGTGTGCTAAACTTGTCTGTACGCAAGGTCAATCCTAGGTCAGCCTGATAATGGTATTCTTCAATGTCACTACTATCGGCATACTGTATCGGCATTCCGAACACAGGGAATTCCACTGCCTACCATCCCTTATGTCATAGCTGTCTGCGCTTATAAACACATACGCTGATAGTTATATTTATTCCATATGTAGTTAGTTTGTACCCTGCCCTACGAGGGTGTTCCGTACAATAAAAATTATTCTTCTTCTTCTTCTTCTACGCTTGTGCAGCTATCCATATACCGGGCGGCTGTGCTTATCCATCCATAGACCGGGCACTCATACATTTATATGCACACATCTCATGATTAGCTTATTGCCAGACACATTGAATAACCTCAACATTTCCACGTGTTGACTTTTTGCCAACAAATCTGAACTTACACCGTGTATTTTCGAAAACAGACATTGTTCTCCTGATCCTAACGCCGATTATTTTGATAAATGATTTTACTCATTATTATTATTGATCTATTCCATGCCCCGGAACAAACGTAAGCCAAAATGCTAAATAAATAATAATTATTTAACCATTTACTGGCAAAACATCCACAGACCTGTACGTACAAGATAAGTATTTCATCTTGCAGCAAGGGCGAGCCAATGGCAACGTACGAAAACAAACCTGCAGTCATTTAACACGCGGTTTCGGGAGAGGCTTCGGTTACCTAGGCAACAATCAACAGTAGCAAGATGGAGCTGTGAGATTATATGAGGATTACTTTCAGGTCTCGGTAGCGTTCATGCCTCTTGGTTGGCCTTGAAGCGCAGCCTGCATGGCAAGTAGACAGCCAGGACAAGTATGAACACATGCGGTTGTCTGTCTAGCAGAGATGGGTATCACAGAGGTCACGATGTCCTGCAAGAAACCTGCAGACTACCTCAGCCATACGTATGCGTGTCATTAAACATGATGGCGCCATGCAAATAAAGCACATATTAATTAACTTATGTGTGTATTCATAGCGATCCCATGGCTTGACCCTTCAAACCTGCATCAACTTTCTATACATAAATCCTGTACGAGGATGCGTTTTATATTTTTTATTCGCTGTCGAGTTCAAATAATTTTTTTTACAATTTTACTATTTGAGACAGGAACAACCTCGTAGGGTCTACATAGGTCCCTTGTACCTCATGTTTGCCTAAGAGCCGAGCTAAATGAAAGTCTGATGCTTAAAATGTGTAACCCAGTGATTGCGTGGCAACGTGCAGGCGCTCGATTAACTCGGTTTATACTTACAAACCCCAGAGCATAATGTCATAAGAACATATACCCCCTTTCCCGTCCACCCTTATCCCTTTAGGGGGCATGGGTGGCCCAGTCGTCTAAGGCGCCGCGATTCGCTGTGCAGAGTTGCGTCCCTTGGACACGCCAGAAACCTATGATTGTGGGTTCGAATCCCGGTTCGGCCCGATTATGTTTCTAGGTTTGTCAGCACCACACCCGTGCTCGTGGGTTTCACCGAAGTGGTAAACGTTTGAGACCTGCATCACTTCAGGCTTTCCTCCCACATTAAGCTGACACGCCGCGATATAACTGGAATATTGTTAAAAGCGGCGTTAAACCTAACTCACTCACTCACTTATCCCTTTATCAGCTCTATCGGCCTCTACTTATCTCATTCTCAGCTCTTTAGAATAAAAGACATGGGTTCCTTAATACCAGATGGCTCCCTTATAAAATTATTTTATATTCAACCTCATACATAACTTTGCAGAACAAGAAGTCTTCCAACGTGGCTGTTTGCATTACACATACGAAAAGTACACAGCAGTAAAACAGTTAATGTTTGTTTACACGTAAAGCCAAGATCCCAAAATCTCATCAAGCTGCAGATGTCTGGCAGGGACCAAACGAGAGCTCTACTTAGTACTCATTAATATCCGTTCTGTCCTGTCCTTGTCCAGTGATCCAAACACAGCATGTTTATAAACTGTTGACCCCACTGCTGGCGACTGAAATTGCCAAACCTCCACCAGCAGCTGATTCAGGGCGGTCTGACATCGGATACCCTTGTACCTCTGAAGGTACCGCATTTTTCCCCAGTGCTACTAGAGACCATAAACTAGACACTACATTATGATCTCTGGTGCTACGAATTCTGTCACATACGGCATTCATTATGTATCTTGGCACGGGTTATCATAACAGCTCTCACATTTCAAGTGTGTGTTTTTGCTGAAGCGTAGTAACATGCGATTTCTGATGATTTTGAGTGAGAGAGAGAGAGAGAGATGAATGATTTAGGTTCAGTCACGATTGTAACAGTATTTCGGGCAAGCGACACATCACCTCACTATGGGATAAACAATAAACGTCACACAGGTTTTCCACGTTTAACACTTTGGTGAAACCAACGGCCATGGTGCTGACAATCCGAGGATGATAATTTGGAATTTTAGGATTTGAACCCAAGACCAGCGGGTCCTAGCAACTCTGTATCAGAACGTTTGCGCCTCAGACCACTTGGTCAGCCGAGCTCTCTGATGATGCTTGGACACGACTTATTAGTCTCTGTTACAGACCCCAGAGCAAGTATTTAATGCATTAATATCCCCCATTCCACTCTCATCAACCCATCTTCCCGAGGCAAGAGAGTTCACTGACTTTAAAAGTCCAGTTTCCACCCTTGCCGAACTAGGCTGGTATTATGGAGTGCAATTTTGGCTGGACTAACGAGTCTATGAGTAGTCCAATCAAAATCGCGCTCCGAAATCGAAATCCGGTTCGTAAACTGTCATACAGATTCCGGTCGATTGGAGGATTTGCAAAGCATGTGCACCGCTAACTCGTTGTCAACAGATATTTTCTAAATCTTTTCATGTTTTTAATCAAGGTGCTCGCGTGATTAGATGCACTCCGTGATGTAAGACTCGTTTTATCACAATATAGATCTTGATTATCGATCAGATCGTCTTGACGGGGCGCCACCGTTTTGTTTGAAGCAAATGCAAGTGATATGAGAGGTGGAATCTGATTGGTCCATAGGAGGGGCATAGAACTCGTAATAGCCACTGATGGCGCCACGATCGAGCCCAGGAATTCCAGCCTAGTTCGGCATGGGTGGAAACTGGACTTTTTTAAGTCAGTTAACTCTCTTGCCTCGGGAAGATGTCATCAACCAAGCTCTATCAACCTGTAATTATCCCCTTTTCAGCTGTGACATTAAGAGACGTCAGGGCTCGCGCACTACACGTGGGTTCACTACAGAATAACATTGTTTGACCCTACTCGTCACAGAACTTGCAGTCTAACTACTTCTGAATAACTCTATTAACGGCAGTTGGTACTATGCTGTACGTGTCACTTGACACTCCACCACACGTGGCATTCATTTACTCTGGTATTACCTTCTCATCTCTACTTCAGTTAATGAATGCTTTAGCCAAGTTGTTGTGACATGTGTGATTCCAGCTCGATGACGCATGAGCACAGACCCAACTCCATCTAAATAAGTCTGCTTGCTATAAAATTGACGGCTTCGATGCATCGAGGTAACTGTTGCATAACTGAAGCATTTCATATGTTCATCATTTCTCAACATAGTTTCCGTCACGGACCCACGTTTACTCGATGTGATTGAAATGATGAGATATAGTTCGACTTTTCAGGGGTTCGGGACAAGCGGTATGTCGATATAGAAGTGGGAAAGAAGTTTTAATTGATGCTAGTCACATATACATAAGCAATACAAATGAGAACAGGCCAATTCATGTGTACTACTCCTAGATGTTCCAGTAAGTCTTACAACACACAGTATTGTCCAGTAGCACGACACATCCAGTATACTGTTGAGCGGGGTCACATAATGAAATAGATACACAGTAAACTACGTTTATAACGAACACCCTTATAACGAACTGACAGATATAACGAACTGTTTGGGGTCCCGCCCATTTGCTGAATATATGCTCTATATATTCTCATAACGAACAACGGTTATTATGAATTATAGTTATTGGAGCCTTTGAGTTCGTTATATCCGTAGTTTACTGATATATGTGATATGTCGGGACCATGAAGTAACGTGATGTTGACGGTTATTTCGACATATAGTTTAGTTTCAATGTACACATTAAACTTATCAAAGAATGGACAGTAGCGCTAGAGGCGATTCGATTAAGAGATGTTTTAACCAAAACCATCTGTTTGTCTAAAGATCTGTACAATAGAACTTTATCATCTTACAATAACTGAAACCGTTATCTATGTACTGTGCGTTCATTCGAACCACATTATTTCGATACATATATTTCATTGGATCTTAATGTATATAAACTGACGTCCAAAAGAAACTTTAGTTTGAAATCATTCTTGCTCAAAAACAACAAAATGTACATGCATGAAGTAAAATGTATTGAGAAGATCAATATATCAACATAATCAACACTGAAAATGACAATCATACCGCGACCGAGAATGACGTCAGAGCCCCCCAAAGTTAGGTGTGGTACAAAACTCGAGCTTTCAGAATCATGGACAATAGGCAGAGTACATAAACAATCGCTCACGTTCAATAACAAGTCATTAGTAGCGTGTGTGACCACCAAATGCCTCAATACACGCAAAAACTCTTCGACGCAGAGAAAAAGTCAGTCGTCTGATGAGGTCACGTGGGATTTGACGCCATTCTTCTTCGAGGGCCAAGATCAGTTCTTGCCGGTTGGCTGGAGAGTGTGGTCGTTGTCGAACACGACGATCCATCAAGTCCCAGAGGTGTTCTGTGGGGGACATGTCGGGTGAGCGTGCAGGCCACGGCAGGTCGTTGACGTTGTTGGCTGCGAGGAGGTTAGTGGCAATTCTGGCTGTATGGGCTCTAGCGTTGTCATGCTGATACATGACACCACGTGGCTGTTGTTGAAGAAATGGTGGGACAACTGGACGAAGAATGTTATCTATGTAAAGCTGAGCTGTCTAGTTTCCGTCAACGATGACCAGCGGTGTCCTCTCCTGCCCACAGATCCCTCCCACACCATGACATCCCATGTTCGTTCACCCCTTCGGCGGTAAACACGTTGTCTTCCATCAGCCCTAAACATACAGAATCGACTTTCGTCAGTGAAGACAACCCTCTGCCAGTCACGTCGTTGCCAACGTCGTACAGTCCGGGCCCATCTCAATCGCAGACGACGATGTTGCGCTGTCAATAGTTGTCCTCTGTATGGTCTGAAAGCCCTGATTCCATGAGCCCTGCGTCTCCTGGCCACTGTCTGTCGACTAACCCTGTGACCTAAGGCATTTGTCGCCGATGACGTCACTGTCAGGAAGCGATTTCGGAGGTGCAAGGTACGCAAGTGCCGGTCTTCATGGGGCGTGGTCACCCTGGGTCTGCCTGTTCTTGGCCTGTCAGCGGTCCGCTCTGTCTGTCTGTAACGTTGCATCAAGTTCGTAACGCCAAACGGGAGCAACCGAAGGTTCGTGCAATATGGGCGTGGGTGGCTCCCATCTGTACCATACCGAAGGCTCGTTCACGTTGTTCGACTGTGAGTCGTGGCATTTCTTTTGTGTTTTTTTTATCACTGTGGATGTCTGACTTGCCGTTGCACGTGTTTTTCACTTTTTCGCGTGTTATCTCGCAAACATGTAACAGACGATTAACATTTTCTGCATACACTATTGTTGTAGTTAGGTTCTGTGTTTTAGATAGACTTCATTGAAAATTTTTTTATACTTTATCTGAAATTTATATTTTCAGTTGGTAAAGTTTCTTTTGGACGTCAGTTTAGTTAATCACATACATTTTATAGCGTCAGTGAAAACTTCATGATCTGAAAAAAACCGTCTCCATGACATGTAACGCAATGAAAAAAGATATCTTATTCATTTTTGCAATAAACTATTATGTAAGACTTGGTAGACGTGTCTTAGCATGGACCGTTCACAGTATATATGTTTTAGTAAGGAACCTATCCTTACTAATAGTATTCGACACCCCATAAGGTAGATACGTCTCATCGACTCGTAAAAAGTGATGTCCTGCCCCCCTTGACTGACCGAATACTACGAACTCATAGATCTACATATAATGTATGGAACACACATGGACATAGAATTGCACAAGTCTCTAAGGCAATAATTATTAGTTTAAATACTAATTTCCAGATTATGTTAATAATAAGAACAAGTTGTCCCTATAAGAGACTGTACTGTCCACATATCTAAACTTGCCTTTAAGGAGGATAGAATTACTACACATCCATGGACGTTTCTTTCAGTACAGCCTTTGACAAAAGCTAGCATGGGCATAGCACAGAGTTTGTGTAAATGCCATGTTCTGGCCCACAAGCAACACTAGAAGACTGAACACATGAAGCTATCATCCACACCAGACGCCTATAGAGAGACTCTCCGGTTAAGGTACCTACCTTGTAGTGTGTATCCGACTGCACTTCCTACTGTAGTGTGTACGGTGCACAGACGCGGGCTCTAATACTGTGTCGGTTCCTGTAACTTGATCTGACGGGATGCACCCACCAAGATTCCACCGTGATGTTCAGCGCCCTGCGTTACGTGGCCGTGTACCGTAGTGCCTCAGCACGGGAGGCTGCCAACCAGAATACCGCACCCAATTCAATAGGATGGTCAACTCAGATCAACCGCTGTATGACGGAAAACAGTTAACATGAGCTAAGACAGTAAACTACGTTTATAACGAACACGCTTATAACGAACTGACGGATATTACGTGCTGATTCTTTAGTCCCGCCAATTTGATGTATATATACTGTATATATGCTTATAACGAACTACGGTTATTACGAACTAAAATTAGTGGTTCCTTTGAGTTCGTTATAACCGTAGTTTAGTGTATTGGTCAACCAAGGTTAACTTGGGTTCACCTGGGTCGTCAAGGGTTTTGAAATCGATCGCAAGCATTAAGTTTAGTATGAGCAGTGTTTCTGATTCGTCTTTTATCTAATATCTTCTTTTATTTCTCTTATACTCAAAACAAGGTCTTCGCGTTATCGTTAAAGCTACCTAGTTTCAATTATTGATTCAATCTTGAACACAAGGATTTTAATAAAGACAGTTAACCAGGTGTCGACGGTATTTTTGTATTCTGATATGCGTCAGGAAAATTTAACTTTCGATTGTTGATATAAATACCTTAGAATCAATTATGAAACTTTGATGATTATTTTGCATCTCGTTTAATGTTCAATGCGTTATTTTGAACTTTCTTGTCGTTTTACATGCATTAAATAGAAACGGTGCAATGGCAGCTTTGTCAAGCAATTTTTTCCTCTCAAAGTTGTGTTAAAGTAATGTTGTTTTATTATAACCAAGGTTGCGTTCTGTTTCACCTTGATTGACACTGGTTAACGCACTGAACGCACGTACTGAAACCTCGTTCCGAGGACCATCGATAGGCTAACATTTAGTCTCTGAAATCTTATATTACACATATGAGGAATAGAACTAGCTAGGGTTGGCTAGACTTGCTTTTTTATGCGTTTCTAGATTATTATTTTTTCCTCTCAAAGTTGTGTTAAAGTAATGTTGTTTTATTATAACCAAGGTTGCGTTCTGTTTCACCTTGATTGACACTGGTTAACGCACTGAACGCACGTACTGAAACCTGGTTCCGAGGACCATCGATAGGCTAACATTTAGTCTCTGAAATCTTATATTACACATATGAGGAATAGAACTAGCTAGGGTTGGCTAGACTTGCTTTTTTATGCGTTTCTAGATTATTATTTTTTCATAAGATAAATATATTCCACGGTCATGGTGCAGGACTAGGCCATCGAGAACACACACAGTTAACAAATTCGAGATGGATGGAGGGACAATTAGGAAGGGCTTGTATGAAATTTTATATAGTCTCGAATTACAGTTATTTTAGAGTGAGTGAGTGAGTTGGGTTTAACGCCGCTTTTAACAGTATTTAGTTATATCACGGCGTGTCAGCTTAATGTGGGAGGAAAGCCCGAAGTGATGCAGGTCTCAGTTATATTAGAGTGAGTTAAAAGCGGCGTTAAACCCAACTCACTCACTCAATATTATAGCGGTAATTATTGTTCTTTTAGTGATAATCTGATGTACCGGTAACAAGGGAGAATACTACGTGAAGTAATGGGGAAGTTCTCATTTTAACCTCACGTGCACCGCTCACGTGAGTTTATTGAGTTATATACGGTACACATTAACGGCTGTTATATGCGGCTCCGGGTCGAGTCAATCATTTCACGTACGGTCTGCCAGACAACGGGCAGATTACCTCATGTTTTATCCACGTCGTACACGTCACAACTAAATCAGTGTGAGGAGACCTACCTCGGATATCTGTAGCTGTTACCCACGTGTACTCATGGTCTGTGGGTGGGGCAGGTGTAGGGGGGGGGGGGGGGGGGTTGTAGGGGTGTGTGTGTGTGTTTAGGGTGCGTCGGGGCGAGTCCTGGTTGTTGTTTACTCACACAGAAGGGAAATAACGGTAAAAAACAGCAATAGATGTCACTCTCATCAAAGCGTTCCACCTATGCTGAAAGATTGACATCCAGTATGATAATGATGAGGAGCGATTACGATGATGATGATGATGATGATTATAGGTATCATTATCCAAAATATATTTCAACACATTTTTGCCCACAGTTTACATTTGTTTGTCATAACGTAAGTGACTTCGAAATTTTCATCCATATGTAACCCAACCGTGATAATCACGTTTTGTGTGAGTATTGGATTGTTGACGTGTCGATGTTTATTATCATTGTACGAAAGGGCATTACAATGATATATGATGTTGAACATGAACATAACTACTGCATCAACCACAATATATTGTTAACCATTTCCCTGACTCTTATGAAAATAATATATTAAATAAGCTGTCAATAACAGCTAGGTGACATTAACACCAACATCTGGCCGACCTCGGTGCCATGTATATGTCAGATTTGTTGAAATACCAGACAAGTCTTGTCAGTGTAAGTTTATATATACATGTGTGTATATTTTGTCTAAATTAGGGGGCAAAAGAAGTATACCGAAATTGTTATTTAAGGTATTGAAAATTGAAACAACTGCTGTTAAATTTGTGATTATTTAGCCATCATTCATTCCTGCAACAGTTAGGGAAAAGTAAACTGTGGCCATGGTTGTTTAATTTTGCGTAAAAACGAATTGGTTCAATGAAGAATGTGGTTAGAAATGAATTTGCAACTACATAACCCCAACCATGTTTTGAAATGTTGTAAATTTGAGCCGAATTTTTTTTATTATTATTATTTCAAATAAAGGACATCTGATATTCCCACGAGTAGTTGTGTATGTTTAAAAAAAATCAAAAATCAATATATAATTATATATTTTTAAATAGAACCATGTAGAAGTATTCGTTGAATGCTGAATAAGCGCCAGTACAGTTCATTTTTTATATACTTAACTATTTTTTATATAACTTAAGATATTTTGAAGTAAAAATCAAACATATGACAAAATCAACTGAGAGGTATAGTTGCATTCACTCCTCAGTTAATATTGCCACTGTCCTTTGGTGGAATGCATGGGTATATCTTATCCCGGCTGGTCACTCACCAAATGCCATTTTAATGATATACTCTAGGTATATGGCACGATGATACTGATGTTCAATTGTCCGTTCGGGAGATGCCTTACCAGTGTGTGGAAAAGTACTTAGTCTGTATGGTAGATTACATAAATGTTTACACTCCATCACCACTACGCATTCCACGGAAATATCCAGGAGATGTGTTAAACGTTGCTGACTCACACCTCCACACGGTGATCCCCGGCCCCACCTGGCCCGCTGTTTATTGATGCTGCGATGATGAAGGATGTTGGCAGCTAGTACAAGCCTCATCTCGATCACAGGCCATGAATCATCCTGTTGCGTTGGGTCATATATTACAAATAATACTCGCCTCTGTAACGTACATTTGAGCAATGTACATACACATATATACATTTTATAGTTGGAGAATTTGATTTTTTATAATCGAGTATAATTCTAAGAAGCCACAACAAAGTGACAATATGTTCTCCTGGTTGTTTCCCGGGGGATCATGTCTTTTTCTTACAAACCACACCATTCACAGTTCCCGAAGCCTGATACATTTACCATTTTCTCTGCGGAACTCATTGTACCCCATAAACATCAACAGCGTCAGTATTTTGGGGGACAAAGAAATAGGTAGTCGAGCTGGTTGTAGACGACGTAGTATAGCTCTGTAGTGGGTGTTTGTTAGTCACCGGGACACTTGGTTTGTTTGGAATTGGTAGCGGTAGTATTCGTTATGGGGGCGGTGGTGATGTATGATAGTATGATGGGTGGGGTGGGGGGGGGGGGGGGGGGGGGGGGGGATGAGGAGTGGCAGAGATGTTCTGAGCCTAACTATGATGGACTATGATGGGAGGTGGTCCACTAGCATGACTCTAGACTAGCGCTTTGTCTGTAAAAATATATAATTTTGTTAGCAACAAATAACTTCATTTAAATTGAAAATGGGCCGCAGAGGGGTGATTAAGAACCTGAGGAAAATAGATTCAATTGGGGCTTTTGCATTACAGGAAGAGCTGGACGGAAGCGAAAATGAGATGGTTCAGAGACTGTTGGACAGACTAGTAGGATTCTTTTGGAATCCCCGAAATCAAACCAATCACCTTTCCAGCTGATGAAACAGGCTTTGCGTCCTTCGGCAAAACGACGTCAATTCTCACGAGAGATCTGGAGAACCTGGAGCGTTTCTAATCAGGAGTAGAAGTCTTGCAGCCCAGCGTGCTGAAACCCTTGCCATGCCCAGTTCATTCCTCAGAAGTTCTCACCACTCTCTTGAGGCGTTGGTGCTGATGTGTATGGTAGTAACGGTAGTCGTGGTGGTTGTAGTGTATGGTAGTAACGGTAGTCGTGGTAGTTGTAGTGTATGGTAGTAACGGTAGTCGTGGTAGTTGTAGTGTATGGTAGTAACGGTAGTCGTGGTGGTTGTAGTGTATGGTAGTAACGGTAGTCGTGGTGGTTGTAGTGTATGGTAGTAACGGTAGTCGTGGTAGTTGTAGTGTATGGTAGTAACGGCAGTCGTAGTAGTTGTAGTGTATGGTAGTAACGGTAGTCGTGGTAGTTGTAGTGTATGGTAGTAACGGTAGTCGTGGTAGTTGTAGTGTATGGTAGTAACGGTAGTCGTGGTAGTTGTAGTGTATGGTAGTAACGGCATTCGTAGTAGTTGTAGTGAATGGTAGTAAAGGTAGTCGTGGTGATGGTGGTAGTTGATGTATATGGTAGTAACGGTAGTCGTGGTGGTGGTGGCAGGTGTAGTTTATGGTAGTAACGGTAGTCTTGGTGGTGGTGGGAGTTAATATGTATGGTAGTAACGGTAGTCGTGGTGGTGGTAGTTATATGGTAGTAACGGTAGTCGTGGAGGTGTCGGTGGCAGTTAATGTGTATGGTAGTACCGGTAGTCGTGGTGGTGGTAGTTATATGGTAGTAACGGTAGTCGTGGTGGTGGCGGTGGTGGTTAATGTGTATGGTAGTAACG